TTAATATTCTGGGGGAGACACCAGCAACCGGTGTTACCTTCTTTAAATAGCTCTAACTTCTGGGTTAGTCTGCATAGAAGGTTAAGGAGTTCATCTGGTGTTTAATTTAACTGATGGCATTGAAATGACTTACAGGTACACAGACACTTTTTTAGATAAAAGAATTGGGTAGCTTATTGTGATCTACTCACTTATCTGATAACTAATAATTTCAAAGTATACTTAGTAGAAATGAATGAGCTCTTCGATGAAGCCCTGATTTTCAATTCTTTCATGATCTTGTGTTTCCTGTGTTGCTTCTCCTTGTGCTCTGTATCACACCACAAATGACTAGCTTTGCCTGCATATCCTCTGATTCTATAAGCTCTTGCTAACCATATTTATCTTCCTGTTGAGATACCAGAGACCAGTTCAGATCAGGTCCCTAATAAATGTTCATGGCTGATGCCAACATCATCATCCTACAGGTTCTTCATAACAATAAAGTGTCTCACCTTGTAATGTCAGCATTTCTCCTATGTTCATTGATCTGAAGCTGGGAAAAGTTCAGAGTCTCCTCTTACCCTTGAGACAAAATGAAAGTCTAGTAAACCTTTATAAGTGGGTGAGCCTGGAGACCCAGCATCCTCCCCAATCAGAAATGTGTGTAAGGACAGCACTGGCAGCGTGCTCCATGCATTTAGGGCCTCTGGAATGCTTGATCATGGGTAAGGAGATGAAATGGGCTGAAAAGAATGACACTGATTAAAAACGGGAAATGTTTTGTGAAAACTCCCCAAATTATCTCTGCCCAGACTGTCTCTTGCTTTGCTTGAGGTCACAGGCTTTGCAGATTTTTTTGGAGTGCAATGTGTTCAGACACTCTATATGCCATGCTCTCAGCACTTCATCAGAGACATTTCATCTGGCACAAAGCACAGCATTTTAGCCATTGGTAACCTCAGTACAGGAAGTATTTTATAACCTAAGTTTCGTACGCATATAAAAAGCACACAGAGGAAGTACCACTAAGGCAAACATATGAGTGTATGTTAGCTCCTGAGCTTCTGCACATGCATTGTAAAATTACAGTAGGGTCACTGTTCACTTCATGATTGTCTTCAGGAGACAAAAGAAATTAAATTCAGTGCAACCATTTATAGGCAGTACCACCAATTATGAACATTAGCGAACATGGTCCTTCTAGTTCCCTACCCGCCAGGTCCCTGGAAGCCCATACTTACATGGTACTGGGTCGCACATAGTAGCTGAATGCCATTTCACCCTGCCTTCTGGATCAGCAGTCCACAAGAAACATTCACTCACTCAGCATTAAGGCACCCCTGCACTGCATACAGACAAAACCATCTCATTAAGGACCATAGTGAAAACTGACTTGCCACCTCTTTGGTTCCTTAGCAGTGGGAACTGGCCCTATCTGGACAGCATCTTTAGGCTGAGGGGAAAAGAGCTCTCCAGAAACAAGAACTGAAGACAGAAACCTGTCTCTTCCTTTGATTACCTCATCTACTCCTGAAGCAGAAAGGGAAGGCTCCTTGTGGTCTCTCAAATGCAGGAAAAGAAGGAAAGAGGCTATGTTTAGAGACCTTCTGGCAGACACAGTAGAAAAGCCAGGAAGTTCAGGCAGATTCTCTGGACTGTGAAAGGTGGCTTCCACTGTGACCCACTAGGGGCAAAGAAGGTTGACCTGGGCTGGGAAGTCTGGGTGAGATAGAAGACCCTCAAGAAGGAAGAGCTGCAGGACTGTAAAGATTATTTTATTTCAAAGCATAATGAAACAGGGTCCTAGTCTGCTGTATCTCAACACTCTGAAATAATTCTTGAATTATAAGTATTGGGAGCAGCAGTTCAAATCAGCCCTGTACCTTCACCTTTTAGATCAAAGTCCAGACTTTGATCCTCAAAACCAGCTTCTGGGAGCTCACCTTTGAACTTATAAACTCAGCTGGAAGTATCTACCATGTTTTCTCCAAGATAGGAGAATGGCCAGGCAGAAAGCCAGGAATGGTTGTAGGGTATAAAGCCAAATTTTTTTTCCCTTAGACTTTTTGAGAATGCATATGATCTTGAAATTTTGTGATAAGTTTATAGCATTGCACTATTTATTTTAAGCTTCCTTTTTATTGTTGTGTGTTCAAGTGTTTTCTCTTTTGCACTGTTACAGGCACCACAGTTTCAGTATTCACACTTCTTTGAAAAATAAACACAGCTTTTCCTAAAAGTGATTGATATAGTAAGGAGGAAAGTTTCAAAAGAAAAGTTCCAAGAAAATTACTGTTTCTAAGACCTTAAAGTGAAGTATCAATATATAAAGTGTGACTTTTCATACTATTATTTCATGGAACATGCTTTAATATTCTTACAAAATATTTTAGAAAGGCCCATGCAATGTTGTACAAAATGTAAGGACATAATCCTAACCGTAAGTTAAAAATAAAAAATAAATAAAAAATAAATAAAAAATGAGAGAGAGAAAGATAGAACAAAGTCATAAAAATCAGGGCCTGTAAAATTCATACAAGTATTTTTCACTATTAATATTTCATGCCACAGTCTGGAATATTCATAGATATGCTATCCCTGTACCTAACAGTATTCAGCAACCACAGTTTGTAGTTTAATAAAAATAAAGCGTCATTGCCACTACAGACACAGTAAGAAAAGAATGAAAAGATCTTCTTGCCTTTCTGTTGGTATCCCCCAGTATATATCCATATAAAGAGTTTTTCACTGGTTGATCACAGCATTGTTTCCCAGACTTTGATGATTTTTTTCCTCTTACGCATATTGTGCAGAACAGAGCATGCCATGTTAACTTGAGACAGGTCTTGCAAGGTAGCCTGCAGTCACTCACTCTGAGACAGAGACCTTAAAATCACTTTAATCCATGCACACAAATTCTATTGCTAAGCAGCAGCATGACACACATCAGATATCAGGCTTCCGCAGCTATGGCAGCAGTAGATTAATTACCTCAAAATTACAAAGGGAACATTAACATCATTCTTTTCCATATTGGTCTTGAAAGTAAATATTCGTTCTTTTCATTTTTTCACTACATGCAAATGGTGAATTTCCAGTGTCTTGAACCCTTTTGTAACATCTTGTGTTAATACAGTTTAGCAACATGATGATTAGCCACACTGTGGAAGTTAGCAGGAAATATCTGTAGCTGTTAAAAAGATGTCTGTTATACTTACAAAGAATTTGTTTCAACAGTGATATTAGGCTTCACAATTGATTTAAAAGCATTGTCTTCAGAGAAGTAATCTCTCTCCAAGTACCCACCCTACACCAAGTAGTTTTGCTATTGATTAAAGGCAGATGTGGCACAGTGAGCTGCTACCAGATAAAGATGCCCATTTTCTCAAGAGCAGTTGGCCTGCAGTTTGCTGCTCTGCAACTCTGAGACAGTCTCCAGAAGAAATGTCCTACTTTGTCATCCAGAAAGTCTTAACTGCTTGTTATCCCCACAGCACAACACTGTCATTTCTAACCAGGTAGTGTTTGGTTTTGTGATCCTGAAGTAGCAAGGATATTGCTGTGAAAGAGAAAGTTCCTTCAGGAAACACTTTCTACAGTTCTTGTTCTCTCTTGCAGCAGGGGGGAGCTCTGCCTTGGTATAAAATCTCCCCAGTTGCATTGCTTTTGACTGACAAAATTTAAGCCACTTGGTGGGGTACCATCATATATTTCCCCAGAAATGTGTGTACATATGTATATATATATATATATGAGTTGTTATATACGTGCTTACATAAATACATATATGACTAGTTTTCCTAATATAAAACAGCTTCTGCTGGTTTGGATATCAAGAGCAAACTGAGAACAGAGAATTAACAAAAAGCAACAGCTCAATGAAAGCATGACAAGAGAAAAATCCCATGATTTTTTTTTTTTTTTTTTTTTTTTTTTTTTTTTTTGCTCCACTCCCAGGTTCTGGAATTGCAGGCACTGCTGTTACCTTCCAAGTAGGGAAGAAAGATTAAGTTTCCAACATAGCCGGAAGATACACACTGCACACGAACAGCAGACTGACATCTTCCAGATGCTATTGCCTTACTGTGTACATCACGTACACAGTGAGTCCAATATGCCCAGGAGATATTGAGCGTAATTGTCAATTGATCTGCACCTGCACAGCAAGTCCAATGCATTTTAGATGCACAAACTTCATTGCGCCTGTGATGTAAATGCATGAGTACAATAAATCCAGGTGACAAGAACTTGCAGGTTTATTGCCCAAGCACAAACTGACTGTACATAATAGAGTAAGTCTTACATGCATCAATACATTGGACTCATTGCAAATGCAACATAAAGTTGTTCTACACAACCTTTAGACATCCTGAAATAGAGCAGGTGATTGCTACAGAAAACAGCAGGGCACCTGACTGCAAGTCTGGGAGGAGAGCTGGCACGTACCTCTCCCAGTGCCGCCAAGTGCCCTGGGGGGATCCATCCTGTGCACCAGACCCAGAGGCAGGGTGGAAAGCAGAGCAATACCTGCTCAGAGCACAGAGTCCTGGATGTAGAGGAAAGGCCTAGCGTGCACAATACTGTTCATACTGCACACCTGTGAGCTGCAGCTGGCCATGGTGATGTGGCTAACCCAGACCCAGCAGATCCTGTGCCCATGGTCAGTGCCAGGAAGTTACAGTGAAAGGAAGGCTACAGCTGTCTGTTTATAAAGACAGATGATAAAAATTGACCAGAATGAGTGAATATTAATGTTCAGTACAAAGTTCATGAAAAGTTGGGATTTTTTTTTTAATAGGAACTTGTTTTTAAGTACTATTGCGTGCTAACTGCATTAAATGATTCACTATGTCAAGTCTTCTCTTTCTCCATCCTTCCTAACCCTGCCAGTGCAGATCCAAGGAGTATTGTGAAAATTTGGGATTTCTTTCGTGACCTTGTGCTTTGCTGTTTCCCTTGCTATCATTTGAATGCTTTGATCCTCAGCTCCGGTGCAGTACCATGTTCTTCAGATTTCAGTGGAACAACGCAACTGCAGATCACCAGCAAATAGTGCAAACTACCATCTTCCCAAAGCGGTGCCCAGGACTGAGGTGTGGGCCAGCACAGCCTGTGTGAGCAGCATACAGAAATGTATGTTTGCATGCTTCAGAAAGAAGATGGATCAGAGATGCATGGACTTTACCCACCTATCTTCTATCCCAAGAGCAGAGAAAAACGGCACACTTTAACTGTCTTGGGTTCTGCACTGGCAACCCTGGGACACAGCACGGAGGTTTGTTTCCCACAGTCACGCAGGCAGGCCTGCCTGTGCTTACCCCATCCACCTACAGATGTGCACTGTGCGTTTGACCCCAGAGATGCTGCGAGGAGGCTGCGAGCACCGCGGCTGCTGTCCCTAGCACGGCACCTCCCCAGCGCTGCCCTGCGTCCCCTGGGGGTGCCACCGGGGCTGCGCGCACCCCCTGCGAGGTGAGCTTGCTTCAGGTCTGCGCACCCCAAAAACCGGCGAGGCGGGGGCAGCCCCTGCTCCTGCTCCTGTCCCTGCCCTGTCCTTATCCCTGTCCCTGTCCCTGTCCCTGTCCCTGTCCCTGTCCCAGCGGGGAAGCTCCGCGCGGCCCCGAAGTTTCCCCGAGTTGTGCCGAGAGAGGCAGCTCCCTGGAGGGGGGGATCACGGCGGAGGAGGAGGAGGAGGAGGACTCGGGAGGAGGAGGAGGAGCGGATCGGCGCGGTCCCGGCCGCCGCGGGCGGCGTGTGCGGGGGCGGGTGTGGAAGAGAGGTGGGCAAACAGCGATGACCTTTGTGAGGAGCCCGTGAGGGAGCGGGGCCAGAGGCAGAGCGAGCGGCAGCGGGGGAGGATGGTGGCTGCGAGCCGGAGGAGAGCCGCCCCGTAATGTCACCATGTAAGTCCCTTCTTCGGACTCGGGCGGGGGCTGCCGCTTGCCGCCCGCGGCGCTCGGGGAGCGCGGAAAACCCCGCGGGCTCCGTCGTCGGGCGAGAAAACCCGGGCCGTATCGGCTGGGCTCCCCGCTCCCCTCCGCGCAGTAGGTGATGAGTAATGTCAGGTCTGAGCCGCGCGGATAGGTAGGGCTGAAGGAATGGGGAAACGAGAGTTTCACCTCGGCGGCGGGGAGGGCAGGACAGCCCCGGCTCTGCCCCGGGCGGGCTGCGGCTGCTGCCGGTGTGCCCCGCGGGGTCCCGGGCGGCTGCTGCCTCTCCTCGAGTCCCGTAATCCGGCTCCCAAGACGTCTCCCGTCAGTCTCTCCCTGCTTGGAGGCAAGTAGCGAAACCCTCGGCCCCGCTGCCTGCCGTGCCCGCCGGTGCCCGAAGCACCAGCCCGGCCGCAGCCCCGCGGCCGCTCACGTCGAGGAGCCCCGGGCACGGCAGGCGCCGGTGCCAGCCCCTCAGGTGCGCCGACAACACGAGCAAGGAAAGAGGGCGAGGGCGAGGGCGGGCCGGGCAGGCTCCACAAAAACTTCCCAGCCCCGCCGCTCCTCCCTGCAGCGCTCGGCGGGCTGCGGAGGCAGCGAGGGGCTCCGCTGCTCTCCGGTCCGTCTGTCCGGCCGGCCGGCCGCCTGGCCCTGGGCAGGCCTTGCAGTGGCCTCTGGGTGCCTTCCCCAAAATGTTTTGCCTTTGCTGACACGCTCCCGCCGAAGGTACTGGCAGCTCTGGGCTTAGGCGTGTCGGCGGTGCGCTCACGGCCAGGTGGGAGAGGACCTGTGGCTAGACGTGAAGGGGAGCGGGGCAAGGGGGCAGGGGCAGGGCTTTGGGCGGTGTGCGGGGAAATTGAGGCATAACTGAGAAGTGGTTCCTGAAGAGCTGGCGCTGCGGTGCTGCCCGGCTACATATACTCAGCAAATGGGTTGCCTGCAACTCGGAAAAGTTCCTTTTGGAAGGCAAGCCAAGGTGCTGAGATGGGGCTTAGTACAGCTGGCATTGTTTAAATTACACGGCAATGTCATTTTCTTCATTTCAGTCGATGAGCGTGAGGGTGTTTTCTAGGTTGACTGTAAGAACAATTAGAAACATGTCAGGCTTAACAGAATGAAAGTTTCAAATGGCATTGTGTAATTAATCTTTCAAAAATCTTTTAAAGTGAGGGTTTCAAAATTAAAATCGACTCCTAGGCTAATCTGCAGGAACTGAAATGTGAGTTGTAATCGCCTTCACTTGTAGTTCTACGTAAGAGTGATTAAGCTTAAGATCTTTTTGTTTACAACCTATATAAAAATTGTGAAATTGATGTTATCTGTCTTTTTAATTTTAAACTGTCAGCAACATTTTTTCTTACCAGCTTTAGACATGTCAAAGACCAAAGAAAGTCATGTCACTCTGCCTGCGGCAGTATTCACATCCCACTGTGGGGAACTTTGCGAAGCTTTGAACAAGGAAGATGGTGTATTCAAATATCTGTTCCATGATTTGAGACCATGCAGTATACAAATGATATGCTCCAGGATTATTCACATTTTGTGTATATTTTCTTGCAGAGCTGTGTACTCCCTAAAAGATGATGAAGTTGCACTAGCTGACAAGTGGCACGTAGAGTTTTGTAGTTAGATGAAGCAATGCTCCCACTAATTTAATCTTTAACTGAGTTGTTACCATCCATATATGGTTTAGATAAATTACATGTCTATTTCGCTCTTCTGGAATGAATTGTGAATAAGCCCATTGTCTCCCTATGTTATAGGAAATGAAAGTAGCTGTGGACTGGACTATTGGATTGGTAGCTAGAGCGCATAGCTGGCCTTGTCTCAGTGTCAGCAAGGCAATAATGCCAGTTCATAGAAAACTTAGTAGTTCTTCTGTAAGACTCCATGGAAGGACACTTCCTAATTATTATTATTATTTTTTTGGGGGGGGAGGAGGAGGCAGTATTACATAGATTGCCGTCATGAAGCTACATCAAACTATAATGGATGTACCTCTACCATAGGTGTTTTAATAGTCCCCAAATATACTCAGTAATATGTTGTTCTGCTTCTTTTTTTGACAACATGTGATGATATGTTCAGAGCTGCTAGCTTGTTACCAGTGGGGGACTGAACAGGGCTTTTTCAGTTACATTGAAATAAAATAGGGGGGAAACAAAAACAAAAACAAAACAAAACAAAAAAAAACCATTGTGGACTATGTTAATCAATTTTAATGTATCCAGGGTTAAAGATGGAAAAAATCTGCAAGTGTTCTGAAACTGGGTCATCATCTTTATTATGGATTCCTTTTCTTACTTAACTTTTTGGTGTGTTTTAGTATGTTGCAGTTCTCATGTCCTGTCTCTGTCTTCTCTCATTAAAAGACAGAATACTTCATTTTAATACTGTTTAAGAGAAGAACATAAAACTGAAGGGGTCTCTTGTGTCATCAAGTCAGTGCTGTTGCACTGGTCAGATGTTATCAAATCATCCCTTGATAAGCTATAAACTAGTCCACAACTGTTTGCTAATTTTTCTGTTAAATTATTCGTATGGTGTTTGGGTTCCACTCTAGACATTAACACTAATAATCAAGAAAATGAGGTTTATAATAAACATAAGCTTAGTGGGTATAAACAAGTGAATAACATTTCCATTTTCTTTTTTCTTTTAAAATTCCTGGCAAGTATTTACTAGTTGCTTTGACTCCTTTTCATAATTACATAACTATCAGAGAAGGATTTGGGTATGGAAAAAGCCTTTTTCTTGACAGAGTGTTACCTGACTTCCATCCATGACAAATTTTTGTATGAACAAAGGTGCACACCACAGTGTAAGACTATGAGCAGCCAGGTTTCTGAATTTTGTGTTTTTGTCTATGCAAGATCTCAAAAATGTGCACATAAGTGACCTTCTTGCTCACATATAGCACTCTGCTCCAGGTTATGCTTTGTACCATGGATAACCAAAAGTCTTCTCCAAAAGAAACAGATCTGACTCATAGTGCCTGCATTAGTCAACTGCTTTGGTAGCAAGTTTATTCTGTGGTCTTTCTTGTTTGAGTTTGATAAGCTTTTATTTTAGCCATCTGAAATAATGTCATAAATAAAATTGTTTTGTCCTCTAACAATACTGAATGTAGGTGGAGGAGATGGCTTTGCTACTTTTTACATATTTATTTGTTCATTTCGGTGGAGAAATGTATATTTTTATAGCGATTGTGTAAATATCTTTTTTAAGCCTTTTTAAGCCTTTTCCTCTGGGGAAAAATCTTTATAGTAATTCCTTTCTGCTTTTCTCCACTTATTTATGCTCTGTTCTGTTGTTGATTATCCATGTTCTTGAAATCTTTCTTGACTTGTGCTTTTTACAAAAGTGAGGATGAGGAAACATATTGTAAACTAACATGGAGTACTGGCTTATGAGTGTTACCACAATGCAAGTAAACATTAGCAAACACAAATTGGCCAATTTAAATAATAGTTTGGTCAGACTAACACAGAATCTCAGATTCTTTAAGAAGGGCACTAAAGGCAATGTGACTGGGTAGATGCACTCGAAACCTAGGCAGTAGAAACTCACCAGATTATTTTTTTTCTTGTGTACATCAAAAGTTGTGCATTGGATTCTCCAGCTATTAAATGAGAAACAAATGCATCTGGGAGCATATGTATGCATGCTGTATATGTTCCGATGTGTATATAACTGTTTGTGACTTAAAAGGACTTCTGTTCAAAGTAAGTTTTCTAAATTAATATTAAGGGCATTGTGGATTTATGAATTATATACATTGAACAGTAAATGTTCCCAAAGCTCAGCATTCTGTTGTCTGAGATTTTAACAGAGATTTATAGGTCATTAAGTTGAAGAACAATACTTCCATTGTTGGATAATCTGGTTATTTTTTGTGTCTGGCTTCATCAAAGAGATTCTTGTATTTCAGAGCCCAGTGTGTTCAGTGCTTGTCTTCAACACTTGTTAAGTTTGACTTTACAATATCTTAGAGAAATAAATCAGCTTCAAATTCCAAATTTGATACAAGTACCCATAAAGAACTGGACTTCTTTTGTAATCAGATGCTTTTGCCATGTAACACTGCACTGAAGTGAAAGCTGACTGACTGCAGCAGTCAGTTGAAGTGTCATTTACCTGGGCCCATTGGCATCTAGCCCATAGGAGCTGTTTAATGAACTACCACTTTTAAAACTGAAACATAAGTTGTTCCTTTACAATGGTTTATCTTTCTGCATTAAGTTTGGCTTGTCTACTTTACAGAACTTCACTTTGGGAAGCAACAGTAGCCGATACTGGGAAAAGATTTACATTTGCCCTCAGGTTTCACTAGCAGGTTCACAGCAGCCTCTGTGGAGCAGAAGACTGTTTTCACAAGTTTAGAAAAAATAAGTATTCTTGCCACTGAGTGTGAACTCCTCTGTACTTTCTTTTACTTACCTCTTTCATGTTTCCAGCCTGACAGATAATACCAGTGGCACTTGCAAACAACTTTCTCCTTTCTATATTGAATACGCACTATCCTGGAAGACATTTGTGTTAATCAATGTTTCTTCATGACTACTTATTTGTGGTTCTTCATCATGTACTGTTGCTGGCCACAGACTTGTGAAATATTTGCGGGATTCTGCTAAAGATTTTCTTCCAGTATTACTAGGTAATATCTCACTGTACTAAAGTCAGTTACTGGTTGTCATTGCCAAATAGGAGTTGGAAGGAGTTGGTCAAAATAATTTGTGTTGTTTCACAATTCGTTCCTTGCTTGTTGAATAAAATGAGACAGGAGTATAATAAAGCACTATTAATTTTGGATTTGACCAGATTCATTACAAGTCTCCTTTCTTGTTTCCCCTTTTGCACACTATGAAGGAATCATTTTTGTTTAGCGATTTAAGGTCGTATACACTACAAATCAAAGAAAACTTTAACTTCAAGTTATAAATAATAATGATTTTTATATAACTGCATTAGTTTTGCTAAATAATAAACATGTCCTTGACTTCACTGGCAACACAGATGAGCCCCTAGATTTAGGCAAAGAAAGTTTCAGGATTTTCATTAAAGCTGTCGAGTTAAAATATTCTAGCTATCAAAATACTATCAGTGAAAAATATTGAAAGACTGATCAAGAGCAGAGGCAAAATCTCACACAGTATCTTTGTATAGTTAATAACAAATACACGTTTTGTATATACAGCATAAACATATTTGTATATGTAAATTATGCAAATTATATACATTTGCAAAAGTTTTATTTTACTGTTTATCCAATTTACATAATTTACAATCTCAAAAAAAAAAAAAACCAACACCTCACCTTCTTTGATTCTTTTACTGAAATATCACCACGTCTGTCTGCTTAGAAGCCTGGTGATAACCAGTCTTCCACCTTGTTGTCTGTTAAGGACCAGACAACATTTCTGACCCCTTGTAGCAAGAGTGGAAACTTACACATGTGGTCAAGCAATACTAGGGCCATCCAACATGTTCAGGTGCTACTGTATTTGCTGCTAGTTACTAGTTTAACTAATAACAGTATTTTCACATTTTCTTGGTTTCTTGTAAAGCTTCCTGAATTGTTGCTTGATTTTTTTTTAATTATTTTTTTCCAACAGGATGTCTCATATAAGTGAGATGTGGTGTTATCACTGGAAATGGAAGCTGCAGCACTGTGTCTACTTGTTTACCGTGTATATTATATGCATGCAGCAAACAGGTAAGTTAGCAAATTATTTTCCTGTTTACATAAATGGACTAGGTGCCTGTCTGCTGACTAAAGATTATGCTAATGTATGACTGAAATATGTACAGTGTAACATTTTGATGAAAATTATGTATTATATTTTTTGTATTATATATTTGCTGTTTTGATTGGTTGTGCCATCTTTATTGCTACTGTTCAATTTTCTTGTTTTTTTATCATTTGGTTGTTATTCTTTGTTATTTTTTCTTTGACTTTGTACTCTTAATTCATTCATCTTCCTTTTCTTCTGCTTTTATCTTGTCAATACCCACATCTCTCTTGAATTTCTCATGGTTGCTGAAATATTGCAAGTAATTGTGTAATTCATCCATTTTCCACAGTAAAGTCTGTGCCTGTAGATTATGTATTCAGTAATCCTTCACTCCAGTTACTGTTGAAAACTGTAAAATAACTGTAATGTGCTTATTATTTTTAAACTCTTTTAAAAAGAATTAGCCTGCACCCCAGAGGGAAAAGGCAGGGCTTGGGAGAATGATGAACTGCCCACTGTAGGAGATCAGTTTCAGGACCAGCTAAGGTGCTAAAGGTGCAAAAGTCAATTGGACCTGATGAGATAAATGCATGAACTCCTCAGGGGTCCTGAGGGAACTGGTGGATGAGATTGCTAAGCCACTGTCCTTCATATTTGAGAAGTCATAGCAGTCCGGTGAAGTTCCACTGACTGGAAGTGGGAAAACATAACCCCCATTTTCATGCCAGTCAGTCTCATCTCAGCCTTGCAAGACCATAAAGCAGATTCTCCTGGAAACTATACTATGACACATGGAAAATAAAGAGGTGACTGGTGACACCCAATATGGCTGCACTAAAGGCAGATCATGCCTAACAAATCTGGTGACGTTCTATGATGGGGTTGCAGCATTGGTGGATAGGGAAAGAGCAACTGACATCATCTGCCTGGACTTGTGCAAGGCATCTGACATTGTCTCCCATGGTATCCTTGTCTCTAAGTTGGAGAGACAGGGATTTCATGGATGGAATACTAGGTAAGTAATGAATAGGCTGTCTGGTTGAACTCCAAGAGTCATGGTCAATGCCCAAGTGGAGATAAGTAATGAGTGGTGTTCCTCAGGGGTCAATATTGGAATCATTGCTATTTAACATCTTTGTCAGTGACACAGACAGAGGGATTGAGTGCGCCCTCAGTAAGTTTGCTGATGACACCAAGCTGTGTGGTAGTTGGCATTCTGGAGAGAAGGGATGCCATCCAGAGGGACCTGGACAGGGTTGAGAGGTGGGCCAGCGTGGACCTCATGAGGTTCAACAAGGCCAAGTCCAAGGTCCTGCACCTGGGTCAGGGCAATCCCACAAATGCAGGCTAGGCAGAGAATGGATAGAAGGCAGCCCTGAGGAGAAGAATCTGGGGGTGATGGTGGATGAGAAACTTAACGTGAGCCAACAGTATTCTCTTGCAGCCCAGGAAGCCAGCTGTATCCTGGGCTGCATCAAAAGAAGAGTGGCTAGTAGGCTGAAGGAGGTGATTCTCCCTGTCTACTTTGCTCTTGTGAGACCCCACCTGGAGTGCTGTGTTCCGCTCTAGGGCCACAGCACAAGAAGTACATGGATGTATTAGAATGAGTCCAGAGGAGGGCTTTGAGAATGGTCAAAGGGATGGAGCTCCTCTCATGTGAAGATAGCATGAGGAAGTTGGGTTTGTTTCAGCCTGGAGAAAAGAAGGCTCCAGGAGACCTTATAGTGGCCTTCCAGTACCTAAAAGGGACCTACAGGAAAGCTGGGAGGACTCTTTTTCAGGGAGTGTAGTGATAGGACTGAGTAATGGTTTCAAACTAAAAGAGGGTAGGTTTAGATTAGATATTTGAACAAATGCTTTACTCAAGGAGTAGTGAGGCACTGGAACAGGTTGCACAGAGAAGCTGTGGATGCCTCATCCCTGGAAGTGTCCAAGACCATGTTGGATGGGGTTTTGAGCAACCTGGGCTAGTGGGTGGTATCCCTACCCATGGTAGGGGTGTGGGAATTAGATGCTTTTTAAGGTCACTTCCAACCCAGGCCATTCTATGATTCCATGATTTACATGATAGGAATTTTCCTCAGCAAGTTATATGTACACAAGATAAACACACACTGTACAGGGCAGTCAGTTTAAAATTGCCATCATCTTGGTCTGTAGTGACACTTGGGCAGAGAGTAATGCAACACATTGTGACTGTTTTCTTTAAACATATGAACAAGGTATTTCATTTACTAAATGTCTTTTCCTAACCACTAGAGTGCAAAATATTTTAGGAGCTCCAGCTGTTTTACTGGAAAAAAAAACTCTAGAGTTTATTCTGGGGCAGAAGAAAGTTTTGGAGCAGCCTGTACTACTCAGCTAATTCCATATCAGATGGGTAGTTTTGCTATTACAAACTTGCTATTGGAAAAAGGATGTTATATATAGAGTTTGTAGCTTCTTTGATAGATTTTTTTTTTCCCCTCTAAATAAAAAGTACAGGGTTTTTCTGACATTTGAATGCAGTGGCTGTGCAGTGGCAGTTTCCAGCTTCATGTCCCTCCAATATGTGTTTTCCATCTTCCTTGTGTAGCCAGGAATGTACACTTAGGACCTGACTCATCAGCTGGCTGATGGCCTTTACATCCCTGTGATCCTGCAGCTGCCATCCTCAGCATACAATAAGTCAGCAAAAACTGCTGTAATCTACAGCTGCTGTGAGCTGATGCCAGGTGACTGGAACATTAAGGCCCAAAGAAAGACCTTTAGTTTTTGCTAATTCCTCATGATAAGAATATAGTTATAAAAAGTGCAGGTGGTATAGTAAGAGTTAATTCTGCGGGCAAGAAAGCCCTAGCAAGTATGCTGGAAACATTAGAAACAACCATGTTCAACAGACAAAATGTGTTTGCTGTTTAATAAGTGAAAGAGATCATAGATAGCTTGCTGTTAATTCTTGACTGAAATGAAAACGAGACATTCACCTCTCCAGCAACCTGCCATTTAGCAGTACTTGCTTGCAGACCCTTAGGTTTCATGTTTCTCTCCCTCTCTTTCTCTCTCTTTTTTGTGGGTGTGTGTATATGAAAGCATAGGTTAAAAACCAGAGCCACAAAACGTAGCCTTTTTATCTGTTCTTTTTAGTACAGTAAGACAGACAAGGTGGGAAACAATACTGCTCCTGTACATTTTATTTTGTGTCCTTAAAAGGTACCGGTCAATTTGGCTGTGGATTCATAAGGTATCCCTAATCTCCCTGGCATCTTAAGCTTTACTGAAGTTACAGAGGAAATATTGTAAAACCTGATATTCATCCAGCTTAGCTAGTGAGTTTTAAGCTTAGAAAGCTACTGGGGTTTATTAAGCTTTGCCTAGAGGGGGTTATATACAAGTTGGGGATTAAGATGATCAGATATGGGATTTATGGAGTATTTATGGGGCTATTATAGGGAAAAAAATATCAGCCATCCTGTGAAAAAATGCAAAAGTAATAATTGTATAGTTTGACTTTTTAAGAACTGCAGGACTTAGCTTGCTTTCAGAAGCAAAACTCAGGTGAGGAATGGTGGAATTAGGTGGAATGGTGTCAATTGGTGGAACATGGTCTATGGAAGAAATATTCAGCCACAAACTGATCGGAAAGGTATGGACAAGCAGGTGTTGCAATAAAGTATAATCCCAAAATATAGGTCTGATACCTCAGAAGAATTGATGGATAGTCTCAGACACTTAAAACAGAAAGAAATAAAAATGAAAAGTAAATGATAAAAATATAATAAATGTCTTTAAAAGTTAAGGATGCTGAAATTTTAATTGTGGCATACTGGCTTCAGGTCATGTGTTGTGATGTGGGGTGAAGGTACAGATCAGCTCAGCAGGCAACTTAACAAGTTCTTATTCCTGTCTGTGGTAGATATGCCTGATGGCTGTGAGCGAGTCACTTAGTTCTGCCTGTTTCCCTGCCTATAAGATTAAGTATAAGTAAGACACGTACTTGAGAACAAGTATGTGTCATCCTTCCCTTGTAAAAACTTTGCTTGTCTTTCAATGACAGCACTGTATGGAAGCTGAGATGTTAGAACGATGGTGTTTTAAACAGAACTAATTAAATCCCCTTTTATATCAGATTCAGACATTCCTGACCTTTTTGTTCACATGTATATTTTGATGGTTTCAGAAAACTCAGAAGAGAGAAAAAAATGAAGTTCTACAAAATGTAACTTCTGAGGACAGACAGAAGGAACTAAGAGTTTTTGGTTTAGAGTAGGTAGAAAGGGGAATGCATAATTTAAAGTGTTTAAAAGAGGTGACTGCAATGGGAAGAAATAGGCTGATCTTTCTGGGCAGCTGAAAGGACAAAAAGAACAGGTTTAAATTACAGCAAGATAAATGAGGTGAGGAAATTTATCAAAATGTAGACAGCACTGGAACTGATTGCAAAGGTAGACTGTGAAATCTCAGTCCTCAAAAATGTATTCTAATGTCTGCCAGACGTGGTTTAGTCTAAATGTTTCTTGCTTTGTGGGTTGAGAAACAGATCAGATGATTTCTGAACTTCCTTAATTTCTGTACTGCTTCCTGAGTCATTACTCTATAGAATTATACTTTGGTTCAAAATTTGGGAAACAAGGAGATTCAGTGGAGATTCCACATCTCAGAATATGACAGTGGTTTTGCTGTGTCTTCAGAATTGTATTGGTGTTTTCCCTTGTGCCATAACCTCATTTTTATCCAAAATAAGGAAGTACCAGCTCACTACAGAAAGTAAAAAACAGTTGGCTCAAGTATGTGTAACTTCACAAGTGTTCAGTTTAGTCAGTGCTTGCTTCTTTTTTTTATTTTTCCTCTCATAACAAAATGTCTGATGTTGCAGTATAGTTTTGACTATGTTCTGTATTGTAACCTAAGAGCAGAAGTGGAGTTTTTTAGGTGATCTTAAAAGCAGATTCCAGTTTACATAGTTGCTTTCCAGACTAGTCCAGTTTTAAAGTGTCTTGTC